GATGACTGAGCCCTTCAGATGGCAATTGATCTGCACACATGAAAGAATCTGCTACTAGGTAAAAGCAAGGCTGGCATTTTATGAAAGGGTAATGGAAAGAGTTCGGGCATTAGGTTGCACAGCAGTTAGATGTGTGGGAAACTGACTCCCAACCCCCAACTCCCCCCAATGTGACAAAGAGGAGAAGTCACAAAACAAGCATTGAGCTAGAAATAAATCATTTATTTTAAAACAATACAGGTTAATAAATAGATTAGTTATCAGAAAACTTAATAAATAGCCTTTTATAATTTACACAAGGCAAATACAACATGCCTATAACTATTTCTTAAAAAGCAAAGATAGTAAGCTTGACTTGTAAGCCATTAACAAATCTATATATACATTATTTGGAAGCTAATAAAATAAACCATTTTTATGTAATCTGTAGTAACTATATTGCAATAGCATTGAAGCAACCAAACCTGACACTGTATGTTTGTTACCATTCACCTTTTCCCCATATCCCATTAGAACAACTTTTTACATTCCAGGGAAAAAAAAGTAAGTTAAAAAAAAAAAAGAAAGTTCCACAGTTGAAAAAGGTTTTAACTTAAAAATACCCCTTTTGTGTAATATTTTCCACTCAGTAGAGCAACTGTCTGGGGGGACCACAACAAAAGAAAAACCCCCAATAAAAACCCAACTAAGTTGTAGCTTTTAAAATAGATTTCTTAATCCATAACATTTCAACATTGCTGTCTGAAACACATGGGTGCTAGTAATAATAACTGTTGACATCATTGGTGCCTAACATGGTACACACTAAAATTCTGCATCACTTAAGCCCACATTCAGTAGCACCACAGAGTTATTACAAAGACTAATCTCTGTAAAGAAAAGATAACAGGTAATAGATAAACATTTGATAACAGTAAAGCAGTTACACCATCTCAAGACAACTGAGGAAGATCTGAAGAATCCTGGATGTTTTATATTTATGAAACAAGAAGTTGAGAGGGGTATAACATGCAAACAATGGCCCATTTTAAGAACCCCTTATTTAATAACCCCAAATCTTTCATCAAATACAAACCCTCCATTTTTTAAATAAACAGGAAAGCTAGACCACAGATTCTAGTATTTCAAGAAATAAAATCCAGTGTTTTCATTTTTCAGTGCCAGTTACTTCAGAAAAATACATAAGTTCGATATAAACCAAGATTAATAATAGGAAGCCTCACTTGTCAAACTGTGATATGACAGGTTCTTATTAATGTTAGTTGCAGCTCACTAATAAATAGGCTCTATTTACACATACAGAGTCCTGGCAAGTCAATACAGCAGTTAACTTGTTTAAGATACTTTTTTTTTTTACATATTTAAGGTGTAACAAATGGGGTTTTTTTGGTTGTATCAAAAAGGTTTCTATTCTCTTACTGAATGTTTGAGGGATTTTTGTGTTTGACACCTAATAAAGATCGTGACTGACACATGTAAATCCTCCATATACTGAAGGGATAAGGATCAAAGAGCTATCTTCAAGTGAGTAGCAAGTAAGTATGTTTGACAAGTATAATAGAAACCAGACATACGGTGTGAAATGCCTTTCATATGGATTTGAATGTAATTCATATGCGTCCCACCACTGTAATGAGTCCACTATTTGTATGTGTACCCTCTGCCACTTCTACTTTGGAATCAGAACTGAAGTCACCTGGCTCATAGCTACATGCAGACACAATGCAAAGAGAACGTGAATGGGCAGACTCAGTGAGGGACACCAAAGCTCAGGAGACTACTGTGCACATTTGCTCCCTGAGGTGATGGAACTCAGATATCTGTCTTATTCAAAGTGCTTCCTTGTCAAAGGAATGGAAAAAAAAAAAAAGAAAGTGAATGGCTAAAATTCAACTTCAACGCTGCCCTTTTAAATCAGAAAAGCAATGGGACTAAAAAAGGTAGGACATCTTGAATGAGAAGGGCTGGGATGGAGGGGGGAAGAATCATACCAACAGTGACAACAAAAAATGCTAATACATTTCTAAAGTTAGAACTGAACCAGATCCAGGTACAGCCGAATTCAAAGGAATACTGCTGCATACTGAACAAAGTAGCAAAAATAAAGGCTTCCATTATTTAGCATTCATGATGTAAAAGGCTGCAGATATAAATGATGTGCAAGGCCACGAGAATTTCTGTCACCTTTTGTGCTGGCTTTTGGCATCTCTGTTTTAAACAGCAAGGCTAATTAGACATCTCTAGAAAGCTCATCACAGATGAGGAGCAGCTGGGGAGAACAGAAGAAACCTATACAGACATTTACCAGCTGTAAGCATGGTCAGAGAACCACAGAACTCGGCTGCTACTTTATTCTTACTCTGCATAGTGAGTGCTTATCAAGTAAACTGGTGTTGTGTGGTGCAGAAAATGGCAAGGTTTAGACAGGGCAGTCAAGTTATTTCGGATCTAATATTTACTAATAATTTGCATACGCACCTAACATACTAGGATAGGCACTTTCTAAATAAATAGGAATGAATTTTAAAACAAGACAAACAAATACTGCCAAAGGAGGACTAAGATGAGACCACAATCATTTCCCTTTTAACCTAAAGATTTCCACAGAAGTCTTCAGAAATTAAAGGCTAGTATAAAAACAACATGCAATTCATGAACGCGGAATTTGAACTTTGAAAAGATGACTGCTTCAGAACACAGCTAATGCTTTAAAACATAGGTCACTAGGTATCATAACCTACATAAAATTTCGGTTAAAATCAGAAACTAAGAAGTAATACGGCAAAACGTAACTGTTTGCTGACAACCAACATACCATCTTCCAATCAGTAATGGACAGAAGTTAGTTTTAACCAGCTTTCTTCAAAGTCCAATTCCCCTTGTCTACAATGCTTATACTTTCTAGAAACCATACACAATATTTTAAAATCCATTAAGATGGCCTTATCTCTGCTAGTACTATTTTATTTCACCAAGATACCCAGTTTCCGTGCTGGCCTATAATAACGTGCATTTCTGCCAATTCAGAGTCTTATAATCCCATACTGGGGGGAAATAACAAGCTCCAAATAACATAGTGGGGCTCTTACTCCCTCAGAATAGTCCCTTCAGAATACTAAATCTTTAGGATTCACTGTTCACAATTATTGCTGCCATCAGGGACTTATAACATTCCTTTTAAATAAAAATGGACGCTGAGTTTGAAGGTAACATTAATTGAGGTCAACAAAAAACGTCACGAGAGTGGCCAGTATTACTCCCTATTAATCAACGTCCACATTCCCGTCAGCCAGCCACAAAGCTACATTCATGATTTCTCGATAAAGTGTCATGAACTTTTTCAAATGCTGTCTTGTAATCACGTTGGGGTTTTTTTTGTTTGTTTCAAGAGATGTTCTGAACTAGAGATGTTGAGTCCCACTGTACCCTTCCATTTTGGTTCTTAAATGGAAACCAAAATTCATTACTTCTCAAGCTTTCCTCACAAGTTTTTTACTTATGATGTTTTAACTACCAAATATAAGTACAGCAGGAAAATTAACTATTTTTTTTTGATATATCAATATTCTTGGAATGGTTTAAACTGAACAGTTCAGAATCATTCCAATCATAGCTTAAGCTATTTGTACTTCTTGTCAAAATATTATTGCTGAACTGTTCACACAGATCTGCAAATTACTGGATCTGAATGTGTATCTCTGTTAGGTATCTCAAACTCAGCTCTCCAAATGCCTACACTTTTTCAGTCCTCAACCTCATTTTCCCAAGTTACAAGAGGATCGGATCATCTGTTTTTGAGCTATGAGAAACCTCATGCTCTTCTCTCTCTTAAATTTCTTTTTTTGTGGTCGCTGCTTATTAGCTATTTCAGGAAGTGGTTTCCTGTACTTAGTCACTTAACTAGGATAAAGGTACGCTGGACTGCTTTGAACAGTCCTCCTGTAGATTACCTCTTCCCATTAGGACTGTGGGTTTTACAGCAGTTGTCAAGGCATCTAAGGGTTTCAGTTCAGGTTTGTAAATTCTTCCAAAACCATGTGGCTCTTTCTGGATGCTTTACATGTTTAGAATTTAAATATAGTCCAATATTATAGACAGTGAAATTGAATTACTAAACCAGTACAGGCCATCTGAAACAAATACATTCACATTTATGCAGTGTTTTTGGATTACAAAGGCACTGAAATAGTTCTGAGCTGCTTACAAATAAGCCAACATATAGGCAATGAGTCTGTGCATCATTTCCACATCCTTCAGTCTTTCTGTCTGCTCCTAATTCAAAACTCTCAGATGAATGCGGTACATCTTACTGCACATAAGTTACAAAGAAAAATGCATACCTGGATACTACCATCAGCTGATAAGTAATGAATGAAATATTTGTAAGGGTGCACTGCTCTGTATAGACAACTCAATTTAAAACTCCCCACTGTCTTCACCGCATGGCAGACCAAGTTGCTGAGACAGTCACTGAAAGGAAAAATCTGCAGTCCATGGGTCAACCAATATTTGTCTCAGAATTCACAGCCTTGACAGTGAACACATTGCTATAATGAGATTAACAAACTGTTCCACTCACTTTTCCCCTCCTGTATTTTAAGGTATACATCACTCGTGAAAGGTGTCAGATTGAGTACATTAGAAACCGATGTTCTCTGCTCACAGAAACAGTGCCTCAGAAGCCACAATACAAGCTTTCACACACAGGTCTGTCAGAATATCCCCTGATCTTTTCTGATGGATTACCTTTTACAGTAAGGAAATACATCGGTCTCTATGCTGACTCAATCAGTGGTTCCAATTAAGGTCATTTATTGTGTTGACTGGGGTACATGGACAATTGTTCCTTTGAAACTGGATGGAGGCCTCCAATTCATTTCACATAGGCCACCAAATCGTCAGAGGGTAACTACCAACCTGAATCATATTTGAATCAGTGACCTAGGAATGAAAGGTGCTGCATCCTTCCCTGAGCCATCCAGTTTCCCCTCAAAAATATTTTAATCTGTCTTCATGTTAGGTTTATTTAAATCCCCAATATTGAAGTTGAATTCCTTGAAGACCTGTATAAGAACAATTCCAATAGATACTGTGGTGAATCCACAAGCCATTCCCAAGAAATCTACCACTCCTACGTTACTCCATTCCCTGAAAAGGATGGCTGAAGCCAGCAGGACTAGGGTAGTAAACACAACATAGTAGATGGCACCAAACACAGACGAGTCAAAACATTCCAGTGCCTTATTGATGTACCTGAACTGAATGATAATGCTACATCCTAATACTGCCAGAAGTACCAGACAGAGGTACAGAGCCCTTTGACTCGAGGGGTTATTGTGAAAGATATCTTGAGCAGCCAGCCCAATGCCTTTTGTGCTGGGAACTGTGAAACTGCCCAATAGAGAGCAAATACTGATGTAAACCATGATATTAGTAGGTCCATGAGCTGGAGCTATCCAGAAGATAAGCAAGAGGAGCATTAGCAGCACTATGCAGAGATAACCCACGAAAACTGGAAAACAAAAAGAAAACAAGATAATAGCAAGGTGAGAACTCCTGGTCTTCTAAGGATTTTATCACGCAAATAATGTCATACTAGTGAACTTCAGGTATACGCCAGGATTAAGATTTGCTACTGAATATAGATCCAAATCACTGAGCTTTCAGAGATGTGGGCATCTGCAACTGATGATATTGTAATGTTATCTGGGTAAAACAAATCACCATGTAGTACAATACACACTGTTCCACGTATGACCTTGATTTAAGACAGCTTTTTTTTTTTTCATTCTCTCTCCCATCAGGATTATACTCATTAAAGCCTGCTATGACAGAAAGCAGTGACAACACCTTGTTAATAACCAGTTCAATAAAGCATGATACGTGGACCTAGCAAAGAGCTTAAACAAAGTTAGATCCCATTAAGGTGAGCAGGGAGAGTTGGAAGGACTTGGAGGCTGCATCATTTACATTACAGCATCAGCACACAGATTAGACTGGTGAGAAATATTTCATGCTTCAAAGTTTTAATGAAATATATTTCCAATTAATTTTGGTCAGATTGAAACGGTAAATTTAGAACAGAGTATTTGTTTGCTTTTCTTTGCAAATTCTTTGCATAGCTGATGTTATTAGGTTTGAGTTTCTCTCACCTAAAACATTTAAACAATAGTTGGCAGTTTAGCTCTTATGCAAGAAAAATAAAAGTGGGCCTGGCACATATTAGCACTAGTACGTGTCCTCCAGCAGCTAGAGGGGCTCTACATTCTCTGTGAGAAAGAGCCGGCATTCCAGCATATGTCTCAACAGTCTATTTCTACTTTGCTCTTACTGAGCAAAGAAATCTGCTTGGAATAACTGGTATCTAGTAAAAACTTTCAATAAAAAAAAAAACAACAAAAAACAAATGTGCAATTAAAGAACAAAAGACAATTAGTAATTTTTGGTTTCTATAAAACAACTTAAATTGATATCCTAGAATTATACCTGTCATCTCTAAGTAGCAAGATACACTTTTTATAATTTTAGAATTCAAATGGCCATTGTTCTGAGCTTGCTGTGCAGGATAATCTTTTCAAAAGTACCCACATTTTCCTTTCTGCACACATGTATTAATAAATCTAATGAGTTCCAAGTACAGCAAGGCATAGTTTTCCTACACAAAAGCTGTATTGGTTTGCCTTTGTCAGGTCATGGTTTCTTCAGAAGTCAATTTTCCCACCCAGTAGAATTGGTAAGCCTCTTCCTTCTGTGTGCTCACAAAATCATTATGAGTTTAAAAAAAGAACAAAGTACCTGGATTTGTAAGCTTCTCTTCAAGCTCAGCCTGAGTCGTTACACTCTCGGACTTTGGGGAATGGATGATGAGAACAACAGACCCAGCGCAGCTCAGCAAACAACCCAGCTTGCCAAGAATGTTCAGTTTTTCTTTCAGTAAGTAAGAAGCTAAAATAGACCTTTCACAAAGAGGAAGAAAATTAGAAGTTTGAATACATCCTATTAATAATGCTCTAACAAGTGATATGCCATATGAATTTCCCCCTTAAAGGAATAGTATGAAATATTGGTGGATCTTTGACCAAATGTTGGTGGATCCTCAAAATGCATTTCTGACTTAGGAAAGATTAATCCAGCCTCAGTCTTACTCAATCCTTGATGTCTCACCTCAGGGAAAACAAAACAAAACACTCCAAAATCTAGTACCACATCACCCACTCCCAAAAAAAACAAACCCCCAAACCAGGCATCTGGCAGTTATCGACCCTGAGGCAGTGATCTACCCGTTAACAATTTGGTCACAAAGCCCCATTTTATAGGTGGCACGCAGTCATGAGATGAAAGTGACCTCTGGTTACAAAGATCACAGGGCTCAGCTCAGACATGTAGCTGACCAAAGTATACAAAATTCTGTGGCCTAGGATAAAATAACAGGTTGTAAGTAGAGCACCATCACTATGCTTCAGAGCATATAAAACTAAAGACAGCCATGAAGCCTACACAAAGCAATCTACACTCAGTTTCGAAATTGTAACTTAGCTATTCACAAAACATTTAGTTGCATATTAAACTCATTTAGGAACACTCACTGCCTTTTTTGTTCCCTCCCCTCACATGAACATAACATTCAAGAAGCTGTGGGCATGCATATGCAAGACACTCCCTTGGTTCAGGAAACAGGGCCAAATCCAATTAAATGAAAATCAGTATCTGTAAACACATGTGGGCTGCGGAGAGCAGGGGAGAGAAAGAATGTGAGACAAAAGGAAAGATCTACATAGTAAGGGAATTGTGAGTAAGAGAATAGGCAGAAGAGTCCAGAATAGCCACAGAAGAGTCCAGAATAGCCACAGTGAAGGAAAGAAAGGGGAAAAAAAGAAAAAAAGAAAAAAAAGAAGAGATGTTCATCTGTTTCAGGTCATAGTGATAGCTAAAGCAGAAGATGCTCAGGAACCCTTTCTTCACCATTGCCTTTCCCTCTCACCACTTGTCTGGGAAAACAGAAGTGATATTATAACACATCATTAACAGTTATAAGCATGACGTCTTCTCAGTGGACCTCCAGTGATCACTGAGTCTAGCTGGCATGTTGTTAAGTAGTAACAACATTCAGATAAGAACAAGAAAAGCAAACTCTTACCCAAATGGAACGCCAAGAGCTCCCAAGGGTGTCACTAGCACAGTTGGGACTGCAGTGTAGGCCAAGAAATTCCCTATTTGACCCAGAGCCACTGTCAAGAGAACCAGAAACAAGCCTTTAAAACCCTTTGTAAAAAGAAGTTATGAAAACTTACTCAATACTGTTTGGGAAAGACTGGAAAAACAGATGTTACAGATTTGCTTAGTTCTATTAATTTTGCACTTACAGAAAAGGGCTGGATTATTTCTTTATTTTAAAACTACTTTAATACAGAATTTATATTTGCCACACAAGAAGATCCAAGAGAGCACAGTAAGTAATCTCATTTGCAACTTCTCTTTGGTGAGTATAAATAAAACTATGAATTAGGAACACTAATGGATTACACTCAAATATTTTTATATGAGGAAGGCTAAAACTATGTATAACGCATGTTTCAGCTTCAGAACATGCGTATGTATAACACAAATGCACTTGGTTGTAGTTCCTAACAGCAGTGTTACTTTTGGGGAGAAAATAAGGACAGTACTGAGAAAAGGAATGAAATACTAAGCACGTGCATAAAGGCTCTTCAATATACAGTAGACTGCATCAAATTTTTGCAACACTATGTAAACATCAAAAGTAATTCCTGACCACTGTAAAAGGAACAGATCCTTGACAAGTCACAGTAACAGCTTCACAATCTTGGTCTTCTCTTTCCCCCAATAAAAGCAAATTCAAAAATGTACCACGCTATTGCACATCACAGCTGTGATAAACAATTCAAGTGTTCAAGTTTTCAGTTAAAAAATAAAAGCTGGTTTTGCAAGTGCTGGCAAGTTTATACTAGGTCAACATGATGCCTGCACAGTTACAAGGTCTGTGGTAACTGGCAAGAACCTTGAGATTGAGCACAAATTACAAACAGCTCAAATTTCCAGTTGATTTTAAGAGCTATTATCAGCATTTAGAAACATTTTAAGAATCCAAGTTGTCTTTATGCACAGGCTGGCACTGCCCTCAACTATCAAATATCATTACCATCATCCTGTTTTTTATATCTGCAAAGCACTGTGCAAACATTAATTAATTTACCGAATTAGCTCGCATTATCGATAGAGCTGAAGACCTGTGTAACCTACAGGAAACACGAAGGAGACAAACAAACTTACAAAACTGCAGAGTGTGGCAAAATTACACTAATTGAATTCACTGAGGCTTTCTCTACATGCAGGAGTGAGCCATAGAAGTTAATGAGCAGCATTTCTAGAGCACAAGAGTCAGTGATGGTCTCCTGAATTCTTCCTGCCACTGGGAACAGAGTAACTCAGCTGTCAGCCTCAGGCTTGGTTTTCAGCAGACATATGTGGCAACTTTGGCATTATCTTCAAGGCATCCAAAGGCACTGGGGCAGAGCTTGCACGGAGGACAGGACACAGCTGGCATGCTGTGTTTCTGCAGATCACATAAATTGCCAAGTGATTCTGACAAAAGGTTGCTTTTTTTGGAGGTCAGGTGCCTTAACTTTCTGTTGGAAGAATCCTAACAGATGGCACCAGCACTGATCCATAAATTAGGTCTCTGAAGCTTCAAACTGCACATATTGTAAGGCAACTGAACTTACCAGAAGTTTTCAGTATCACCGCGGAGTAATAGTAACAGTCTCTTACCGCTATGAATTACAGACCAGGACTAAGTAAGACCAATTAGGAAAAGAATCTCAGTAATTTTTACCGTCTACCTGATGCTAAGGTTCTTTGCTGTCAACCGATCCAGTCCTCTCTGGATTAAAATCCCTCTCCAGAAAAATCAATGCTGTAAGTCAAGACATGGCTTCAGTTCTTGAAAGCACATCAAGCTTTAAGCTTGCTTAAGGAGTATCAATATCCCCAAAGTTATTGCAACACAAAAGTTGATGCACAATGACACGTTTACATTAGCATGGAAACCAGGAGTAGATCCATACAGCAAGAGACCTCTGCTCTATTCATGTCAGGGGTTTTATTTCAGACTGCTTCAGCCTGCTCCCATGGACTGACACTCTATCTACAGCTGGAGTGCATCTTCACTTTTGATTTAAAAACCAAAATCCCTCAGCAGAATCTGCAGCCCTTCCTTTGAAGTCTTCAGTAATCCAGTGGATCCCAAGCTCCCAAAATGGTTAGGCAGTGTTATGCTGAGTCAGCATGTCAACACAGAAATGCTTGTTCACCATCTGAACAAATATCGTGAAAACAAGTTGACAGAGTTCATGCAGGTTTTGTTAGTCATTCTAATTCCAAATTCTCTGCTTGAGAAAATGACAACAGCTGTTACAATTTCACCCCGATAACTGGGGATATTGCTAATTCCCCAAACATTGCCTTTCTCTGCATCCCACAGGTGTCTACCTGGTCCTTGCTATTGCTGTTTGTGATGGCTGCAATTCTGGATCTGTAATATCCTTAAGCAATTCTTCCCTTGGTTCCTTTGTAAACTTACGGAGCCTTTGTTTTGAAATACCTGCACCTAGCTGATGGACAAAAGCCAACTGATACCATTCCCTTCAGCTATTTCGCCGTCATTCAATTCTATCAGCTCTTTTAAGCATGAAATTGTTTTCTCTGATTCACCAAGATAAACTCCTGTAATAAAATCTCTCTTATTTTAACCCCTTCTGCTCAGATATTCAAGACGGGAGCCTCATGAGTGATAAACAACAGTGATTAATGCATAGATTTATTGCTACTTAGGCAGTAGTGATCCTGGCAGAGGAGGAAGCTGGCAGAGAACTACTTAAACTCAGGTGAAATTAGCTGAGGACTTTCCTCTGAAGCTCTGTCGGCTTCTACATGTGCTGCGAACTTTGTCCTTCAAGGGATCTATCAAGTTTCCATTCCTGTTGCATAGCTTGAAGATGACAAAAACTTGTAATGCTTACCTAACTGGCACGAAACAAGGGGCACAACTGGACTCATATACTTCTCAGAAACAGCAGCAGAACATTTTCAAATAATTCACAAAAGGCTGGGTTAAAGTCTAAATGTGAGGTACGAATTTAAGCTTGTGGGTAGAACTAGGGCTGAACTGCAAGAGGAGAAAGTCAACTGCTCCCTGTGCTTTGGATTCACATCAGAGACTGAACTGAGCCTGAGCAGAGTTTACAAAGATATCAAGAGTGAAATTACACTGATCTCGTATCAGCACCACACAAGGCTTCGTATTAATCTTGTAGATTAAAAGCAAAACCAAAACTGTATCTGTCAAAGTAGAAATCAAAAAGGATTTTTTTTTCAGTTGAGGCTGGCTAAGCGCTTTCTGATCTAAAAAATAACATGTGCTCAATGAGCCCTTTTGTGCAGAGTGACAATTTATTTTTCAGCTTTGACTTCTATTAAAAGCTGAGCAGACCAGTGCAGCCCAGCGACACAAACCATGGAGGAACCCAGCATCAGAGCAGCACGTGGCTGACAATGGCTGCAAGTACCAAAAGGTTCAGAAATCCGGAAAGATGTCTGCCTCAGGACTGTCCTGGCTCTTTGTCTTCTCAAACACCATCAAACACAGCAGCCAGAGTGAAAGTTTACTGAAGGTGGGATATTTCTGAGGGAAGGGAATTTCATGACAAGTGAGTATGAGATTCAAGATGAGTACCCAGAGTTCCTGATATCTTATTTCACCATGTAACTGCAACTTCTCCCTTCAAAAAAAAACAAACCCCAAAACCAGACCTTTTAAGATACTTACTTGCAATAGTGCCAGACCACCATACTATATCTGTTAAGTATGAAGTACCTGGAAGAGGAAGTATAGGAAGACGTATTAGAAAAATACAAAACTGCAATATTGGAACTACAAAACAGAATAATTTAAAGTCTCAACTATTAAAGACCTTCATCTTAACCCTACTCTGCAAAGCAACTGAACAGGAGGAAAACAAGAGAAATGGTGCATGGATTTGGCCTAAGTGTCCAAGTCGGACCTTAAGACAACATATTAGTCAGGAGTTCTGGTTTCCAGTGAAGTGCCTGTGCAATGCTAACACAGTATTACTTAGAAGAGCATCCAAAATGTCACCAAATGCTTCTGAGGGTGTCATTGAAACATACAGATTAGAACCACTACTAGCAGAATGGAAAACCTATGGAAACAAAACATATTTTGGATCAATTAGTTTGCTAATAGTACTTCAGTGAAATTGTAGCAGATAAATTGTTTTGGTATGCAGTTTTGGCAGTACCGTAGTGTGGCAGATCTCCTGCCTTTGAGCATTGGAAAATGCTACAACTGAAACCTCTGAATTCCTGATACACCACCCCATTTCGAAGAGAGGAGTGAAAACGCTGGATTGTCACTTAGTGTCTCACAAGATCAAGGATTACTATTTTCATCATCAGATCATAGGCTCTTGCCTTGGGCTGCGCCAGGGGAGCCTGTGTACCACAGTTTGCAAGTTCTGCTTCTGTAGAACGTCAAGGCTAATGACCAAGTGGCGGTCTGGCCTCCACCAAGTGCAACTTCAGCATCACGTTGTGCTGTTACATTCTGCTCCTCTTTCTAGCAATTCGACTCTGCATTTATTTGGAAAGATGCTCTCTCAAGAGCTGCTGGAGCAGTAGGCAATACTGTACCTACCCCAGAGTCCCAAATGAAAGAAAAACACAGTAATCTATAACTCTGGAGACGTATAAGATATTAAGCGCCTGGAAATCACACTATATAATTGAAATGAGATGGAAAAATGACTAACGAAGATGGCCAGCTTTCGAGTGGGTGTAATTATTTTTCAGACTTTTGTTATTGCGTATAAAATAAAAAAAACTGTTGGGGGCACAAATTATAGAAAATATTGACTCAAGTAAGATAACTTTGCACAGTATTTGTCTCCTGCTGCTCTTTTTAACTAAGCAAGGATTACTAATTGCATTGATGCTATATTATCAATTCAAGAGAGAAGAGAGAAAAGAATTAAAGTGCCTCCTTGTTAATTATACAACACCTACTGAAGCCAGTGGAAAAAAGACACAATCTGACACTAATGAGCTCCGGCTCACAGCTCCGACTGCTAGGTTCAAGGCAGAACCACACTGCTTCACAACACTAAACAGAGATAGAAACCTCGGGTATTTGCCTGGATGTCTCCACACTGAGCACAGCAATAGGAAATACTAAGAATTGCTCAGCAAGATACACAAATAACCACCAGTAATATCTTCAAACCAGGATGTTTTACAGCTGCCAGTGCTGAGAAGGCAGGCACGCACCCATCACCCACTTAACCCAGTGCTCCACTGAAAGCTCTTCAGGAGTAACTAGACCCAACTATACTCCAAAATAGAAACTTCTCCAACTGCCTTGGGACAGAAAGTCATTCCTTTCTCTTGCGTTTTCTCATTGTTTCCCTTACAAAAAAGAAGATTTATATTTATGATGCAAATGTGATCTCTCTGTGGACAATAAAAATGGATTACAGCCATCTTGGAGGGAAAGGGAGACTATGCTTGCAAAACAGTAGTTTGTCTGAGGCCATCAACCGTAAGGTCATTGCAGAAAAGGCAAAATAAACTTGTTCTATCAGGCTGCCAGCCGGTAGTAACATATTTGCAAGCCTGCGGTGCTCCACTGCATCTGCCCTGAACACACCAGATGCACCAGGCACTGGAAACACACTGCTGCTCTAACACTCATCATCTCAAGTACACGTATGTGAAATATATATTCACATACACGCACACATGCGTATACAGAGAAAATACCTAGCACGTCCTGGTCATTAAAAAGTATTTTCCATAAAAAGAGTTCCAAAAGCCTATGGACACTGCTCACACACACAAAGACACCATCACCTGCAAACAAATGGCTATTGAACACAGAAATACAATTAAAGAGTCTCACGCTACCTGCTTTCCCCTCACAATATTAAGAACAGATAAATATATTGCATTTTCCTATAGTCAAAGCATCAAGAAGCAACTGGCAAAACACTGTTCAGAGGCTGCATGCTTTGGGGAGCTCCGATTTCAGAATAAAACCCAGAAGATTTTCTTACTCTGTGAATTTGTAGTTTTGTTTTGCCTAAACTGTCTCAATAGCACAGTCACTCTGATTATATTCACTTCAGAAAACAACAAAGAAGTACAAGGTTACAATACGAAAAACAAAAGAGATAATTTCATGCAATTGGTGTGCCTTTCCTCTCTACAAAAGGAAACCACCACGCGACCGATGTAACTTGTGTTGTGCATTCATGAAGAGCTAGAATAAACAAGTGCTGGTGTTGTGCATGGCAAGAAACTATCTGAGCCAGAGAAATAGGTAGCAAAGTCCCACAAGTACGTGAAAATACTGCAAGAGAAACCCGTGCATGTACACACACACATACAGACGAGTCCCCATTGTTGTGCTACAGTGTGACAGATGACCAGTGAGCAGGCCAGACACTGGGAAGCTGTTGCTGATGACTACATTAATACATCCCTATTGCTCTCCACCTGCCCTCTCTTCACTAATTAATCCCATCCCTCACACCATGCTCCGGTCATCAACCTCTGATGTCAAACACGCTTAAGGCGACAAACTAAGGCCGGCTACTCCGGCCCAGCCGTCTGGACAGTGTTCCCCTCTCCAGGTGACACCGTCACCACCCCTTCAGGCAGAGGGTTTGCCAAAACTCGGGGGTGCCTGTCCTCTGCGCCCTCCAGGGCTGCGCCCCCGCGAGACGGGCTTTCCCCCACTCCACCCC